ACGTTTCTGTGAATACGGAGCAAAAACACCGGACAGAAACTTTGCTTGGGTTCTGCCAGAATAGTTGGAGGTACAACTGGGTGCCTAGAGATTTTTATTTTGTAAATTTGAAGAAATAGTTTGCATGTTTTCTCTGAAGGTTTAATCGGAGTACTCCGGTTTATTACAGACCCAAACCGTGCATGCTAGGTTCACTGGTAACTCTTCTAAAGTTGTCTTTCAGCGTGAGTTTTCTCACACAGCTCTCCAGTTTTAGTTTCTCTCCACTGGCTCCCTGTCAAGTCCAGAACTGAATTCAAAATCTTACTTCTAACCTACAAAGCGCTCAACAACCTGGCTCCATCTTTTATTACAGATTGTAATGTTCCATATTTTCCTAACAGAGCACTTAGCTCTCAAATTGCAGGTTTACTCGCGGTTCCTAGTCTCCAAAAGCAGAATGTGAGGAAGATCTTTCAGTTCTCAGGCTCCTCTCTTGTGGAACCAACTTCCAGTTTCTGTCCATGAGGCTGACACATTGTCCAGTTTTAAAACTTTCCTTTTTGATAAATCCTATAGTTAGGGTCGGCTTGGGTTTCCCTTAGTTATGCTGCTATAGGCTTAGACTGCTGGAGGACAAACTGACCACACTTTTCACTCTGCTACTGTCTTTACTTACTCTGGTCAACCTGTTTTGTATTTGTAATTATTTTTCTATCCGAATGTGTTTTGTCTTTCAGGTACACCTGCACCTACACCTGCACGTACACCTGCACCTACACCTGGACCTACACCTGCACCTACACCTGGACCTGCCATTCAGTGTTTGTTTCTCCTTCCTGTTCCTCTCAAACCCCAGTCATCCTGAGCCTGGTTCTGGTGGAGGTTTCTTCCTTTCAAAAGAGAGTTTTTTCTTTCCACTGTCTCCTTTGTGCTTGCTCAGGATGGGAGACTGTGACGAAGTGAAGACTCAACTTGTCTGCTGCTTCCTCAGATAGAGAACTTTACTAATTGGCTTCTCTGTGTATGTGAATGTTCCTGTAAAGTGTCCTGAGACAACTTTGTTGTGAACTGGTGCTACAGAAACAAACTGAATTGAGTTTAGTGAAAGAGTGACTGGTTGTTTGTCTTGTTTGTCTCTAGGTGTCACTGTGATGGACTGGAGACATGTCCAGGGTGTCCCCCTCCTCTCTCCCAGTGACTGCTGGAGAAAGGCACCAGTAAGCACCAGGTTTCCAACAGGAGGAACAGTTAAAGAAAATCATGGATGAAACTTGCTGCACAGGAGACTGACTAAAACAAACAGACAAGAAGCATTCAATCATGATATTCTGTCTTTTCATTTCTGATGAAGAACGTTCTTTACAGGATGTGTGTTCTATTAGGTTTTTAATCAGCTTTTAAATATTCACCCCGGCAGACGCTCATTCTTCTGAACCAGCTGTTGCAGGGCACCACCCCAAGCACGGATCAACAACGAGGGTTGCTGTGAGGATGGAAACTTTCTGGAGCTGATTTAAAACTTACGTTCAGGTCGTCACACTTTTGATGGCTTTATTAAGAAATCGACTGCACAGGTTTTTTGTTTGGACTGTGGGAGAAAACCACAAACGCACGAGGAGAACGAACAAACCACTGATGATGGACAGCCGTGGAGCTGCTGCCGGTCGTGCTGGAAAAAGGTTCATGTCTTGAGTCTTGGAACGCTCGGCACTGATCAAAATGTTCTGGGCCCAAAATTATGATAAATAATGTTTATTATTTAATATTCTTATGACTATACAATGTTTGAGCTTTCTAACAAAACTAAACTTGATATTTTTAGTTGTGCAACAGAAAAATCTACTTGGATCGAGCAAAGTAATGATTTGTATAAAGATGTAAACGTCTTTTCAGATGATTTATGTGTTTTTGTTGGGACTTCAGATCATTTCCCGGCCTTGTTCACAACTTAAGAGGCTGGAGTAGTAAAAAAAATGACAAATAAAAATGGACAATGACATGAATTGTTCTGGAAAATTGTTTTGAATGTTTGGGGTGGGTTTTCTGTCTTTGTTGGCACAACTTATTTTAAAATGTCTTTTTCTGAAAACGTTACTAAATAACGTTTGCTTCATCTTAACTAATTAAATAAACACATCCAAGAAACTGCTGCCCTCAAAATATACTTTCAATCAAGTAAATTTAGAGGGTACTTAGTATATAGTTATTAATAAAAACACAATAAAAGTAATGAACATAAGTGAAGAATTGAACAGAAACCAGGAGGGAACAGGATGAAAAATGTATTTCAACTGTTAACATCCATTTTTGTTGCGTACGGTTTTCAGCATCTTTCTCGTTCCAGTTTTCAGCTATTTCAACGAATCATATCAAAACATTCAGCTCTTCAGGACAATCCTGCTATGACTTTTGGTATTGGTGCAACTTTAGCTTTTTGAAATATTTAGCCTTTTCTGACACTTATTTTTATCATAGAAAATGAACTGAGCTCATTTTACTTCCTTCACATCTTTAGATCTGTTTACAACCTTTTACTGCTCCTGTCACATTTTGTTCTGCTTCAGCTTCTTTGTGCAAATTTAAACTTTTTTCAGCTACTTTCAGCTGTTTTTTTTTGCTCCCTTGAGATTCTTTCTGCTAACTACAACATTTTTGCACTTCTTCTAACTTCTTTCTGCTAATTTCAGCTTGTTGTGCTCCTTTCAGCTGATTTCTGCATCAGTTATCTTAGCTGCTATTTAGCTGCTTGACACAAATTTGAGCTTTTTTTGTTTGGCTAATTCCACATTTTTTGCATTCCAATATTTCCCCTACCATTATACAAGCAGGGCGCCCTGCCCCGTTAGAACCGAGTGCCCCACCTACCGAACCGAACTGCCCCCCCCCCCCCCCCACAGACCACCTGTCGGCACTGACGTAATGCTAAGCTAGCGGCGTGCAATACAGGCATGCTAGCTAAAAAGCTAAAGGCAGTGCTCACGCTGTCTCTTCTTTCACGCTGAACACCCCCTCGCACTTGAAAACTGCCGGTACAAACAGCAGCAGCTCAGATGTCCCCGTCCCCCCCACGGACGAAAATCACGTACGAGATGAGCGCCCTGCCATGGCAAGTTACCTAGTGGAAACATTGACTTCTTTAAACGTTTTTCAGCCTAATGCACCAAAAATGTGCTCGTGCCACTTCCTACTGGTAATTTAGATCGATAGAACTTTATTCTTTCTGCCTTTTCAGCAGGTTTTTTTGTGTGTGTGCTAATTTCAGCCTTTTCAAGATAATTTCCACTATTTGGTGTTCATTTCTGCTTTTTTCAGCCTAACTGGGCAAACGTGTTCTTTCTGCTTTCTTCTGCTAATTTATGCTTGTTTTAACCTTTCAGCTACATTTTTAGCTAATTTCAGCTGTTTATAGAAAAAAATCCAGTTTTCATGCTAATTTCTGCTACTTTCAGCCTAATTAACTTATTTCTGCCAATTTCAGCTTGTTATGTTCTTTTCAGCTAGTTTCTTCTAGTTTAAGCGTTTTCTGCTTTTTTAGCTACTTTTAGCTTTTAATACTAATTTGAGCTTTTCAGCTAATACCCCTTTTTTTTAGCTTATTTCAGCTCTTTCCATTTCCTTCTGGTAGTTTAAAAATTCTTTCTGCCTTTTCAGCTACTTTTCAGCTGTTTATTTTTTTGTTGCCATTTTCCAAATTTTCTGCTAATTTCTGCTTATTTTAACCTAATTCAGTAAATATGTGTTTTTTCTGCTTTCTTCTTCTAATTTAGGCTTGTTCTTTCATTTCAGCTACATTTCAGCATTTTTTAAGCTAATTTCAGCAGTTTTCAGCAAGCTCTTCAGCAATAAGTATTCACAAAGCATTTTTGCAAAGAATGGAATTTCTCTAGTTCATGTCGTCTCCGGACTGCGCTTGTTTCTATTTATTTATTGTTGTTGTTTTCAAGACAAGTGGTAATGTTTTTATTTATTTTGATGTACAAAAGCTAATTTTCTTGCAATAACTAGAAATTATAATTTTAAAATAATGTGTATTTCTTCATCAGGAATCGAGTCATTCCTGAATCGAGCTGAAACTGGAGACAGAACATCCATAATTGATCAACACACTCTGGTTAGATTATCTTCAAGTCTCATGATGGAGGTACTAAATGGTAAAAGTAGATGAATGCAACATTTATTTATTTTAAGATAAAAATTATCTTGTAAACAATAGTTGTTTGCTTTAGATCTCTGTACTTTGCTTTCAAAATAGTTTTAAACTATCTTGGTTATCTCGAGGTAACTCAACAGTCAACTTAAATGACAAAAAAAAAAAAAAAAATCACATTAAACATAAAGTTATGACCCTTTTAGGCCTCCGTAACGCTGGAGAATAAGATGCATTCACTGGTTCATGAGGTTTGCCTCTAACTCAGAGTAAATGAGAACAATGAGACAAGACCCTTCCTGATCGCCTGCTGCCATGAAAGACAGGCAACATGTAAATGCCTGTGTGTGACCGGTTTTCAGATACCAAAAGTTTGGAGTGGTAGTAGCTGGGAGTCATCCCAACACAGACCCTGAGGGCTAACACATCATACAAGCTCTGTGTTTAAACGTTGGCGATATGCAAAGAATACTTCGTTTATTCATGTAACGATGTTGGTTTTTGCAGAGATGGAGAAAAAGAACAGAAGTTGCTGCAGCCTCCACCGTTATGTGCTAACAGGAACAGTAAAGATGTTCTGCCACCAACCATCCACCAACAGCAGCCCTCCAAAAGCCAATCAAACCACCACCACCACCATCACCTGACACCCCCACAGCCAGAGGAGGAAGCAGACCTAGAAGGAAACCCGCCTCTTTGAAATTCCCAAACTGCTCTCACCTCCCAAAGACAACCTCTAAACCACGGGGGAAGGGGTGGGGGTCCTGAAAGAGTGTGGAGTGGAGGAGATGGTGAGATGTGGAAGAGGAAGGGGTTGGAAGGGAGGGAGGGGAGGGGCGATCAGCGAGATTGGGAGCTGGGTTGGTCTCACCTGGTCTCACTCCCGCCAGCATTGGCAGTGGGTGGTGGGTGAACGCCATGCGGGGGGACCTCGTCTGGGAGGACAGGGCGCTGAAATCGAATTTCCCCAGCTTCTTATGAGAACCAGGCGACGGGAGTCCTGGCAAAAACGGGATCAACAAAAAGAAAAAAAAATGGCAGAACAGAGACGAGGTTTTAATCAAACATGGCTGCTTATTCTTACTCTGACTCTACTAAAAAATACTGAAGAAAAAAACAATGATCAGACTTCTTACTGATTACAAAAATCAAATGATTTTGATTGACAGAAATCAGTGGATTGATTGTTTTGACATACAGATGGGTTCTGATGATTTCTCTCAGTGTACAGTCAGCGGGCTGTACCGGGTTCATTTCATCAAAGTGGGTGGGGTTGAAGGTCCAGTAAGAGGGCATGTTTTGAAGCAGCAGGGGTTCAGGATAAAGTGTGCGTGACAGGGTGAAGGAAGGAGTGGGGTACGTCAAGTGGTCAAGGGCTTAGCTTCAGGACAGAGAGCTGGGAGAAACCTCGGCAGTCCATCTACAGCCACCACTTGGTGCACGACAAGGTCTACAAGCTTTACCAGTGGAAGAAATCACTAAACTCATCCAACTCCCTCACAAAACACAAGCTGCAACGTTCTCAGAGCCTACCGAGAAACTGAACGAGCAATCCAACCAACCTCCTCACTGCTTCTGTCAGAATGACTGAGAGAATGGATCCTGGGTGGCCTCAGTGGACGACAACACAACCTGAGCAACAAACTGCACGCAGACACCAAAACACAAGAACTGATCCTCTGACCATGCCCTTCTGTTTATCTGACGGTCAGGCATTTTAGGCTACTGCCTTGAAGGGATGTATGAGACGTATTGAAGTAGGGTTCTCTGTAAGCGTTATTAATAAATAATATCTTACCGATCGTAGACAGCTCTTGAAACCACGTCAGTTTGGAGAAACAGAGTTTAGAAACCAAAGTGATGAGCTGACAGCCAGACTGAGCAAAGCCAATTGGCTCAGTATGTTTTAAACACCTCAGACCTCCAAAATGTTACAGCAGTTCATACAAACTCTACTTTTAAACCTTTACATGTCCATCACTTTTGAACTACTTGGTTAGCTCTTAGTGGCAGCAGCAGCTAGCTATAACACTTCCAGTGCAGCTTGGGGCACAAATATTCAACAAAATTCTGATTTGAAAGAGGGATCCCCCAGATTGGATTTATGATCTAATAACGGCTAGACCAAATGCTGTTATTTAAACTTTTACATCGCTATCTGTTTCATATTATTATTGTGGTAAATAACAAATGCTCACATCTGTCACTTGAGATTATAGCTCAACTGATATGTAAGTAGTGCCAGTATTTTAGGCCGATCTAGATCTTTGGGGACCTGTCGGTATCAGTGATAATTGTTCCGTTATGGGCCGATATAAGCACTTCTAATTTTCATCCCTGAAATGCTGGAACCAGCTGTAATTGTACAATGTATCCAGCAGAGGGCGCATGAACACTACTTTCAAGTCATGGTTGTTCACTTAAGTTTCACTTTCACATTCAGCACAGACGAAGCAGAGAGCAATACTGTGTAGTGTATTTTGCTGAACAGAGCATGGTAAGTTTATTTTAACTGATCTGTAAAACAAAAAATAATAAATTACATTCAATCCTCCAACCTGCTTGTCATTAGCTACATGTCTCTCAAGTTAGTAAGCTACGATTTACATAACCTAGCATAGGCTATTGCCTTGTTAAACTGTAGCCAGAACAATAAATCTAAAGTAGCTGTAAAATATCAAGTGATAGAAACTTTTTTTTGTTGTTGTCCTCAATGAAATGCATTGTTTGTCTGAAATCTTTACTTCTCTGCAAAAAAAAACAAAAAAACAAAACTCTGATGCGGTCAATACTAATTATGCTTTCGCCATACATGATTGACTGTTTAAACAATGAACAGGTTGTTTCTTTGTTTAATTTATATTTATGTAACACACTTGATAACTTTATGGTGAATAGTGGAGAATAGAAAATGTGAATGCACGTTAGGAATTCTGTTTTTATGACAGTGCACCACTTGTAAACCTACTGTGGGACAACGTATAGCATGGATCTGATTAGCTTAGCTTCATGGTTGCTAACAGCCGCACTAAATAAACAAGCCCCGCTCCACTCACTGTTTTCTTAGATTCTTGTGGGTGGACAAAGCAAAATAAAAATTTTCAGCCATTATATCAGTTATTGGCGGTTTCACCCCCTCCCAATATCAGTATCGGTAATACACAAAATTCCCAGATCGGTCGGGCTCTACTTGAGACAGATGCATAGGAAGAACAAGAGTACCACAAACGGCACAATCTATAGCAAACATCTGGGCAAGTAAAGAACTTGTATAACATTTGATGTTGATTTGTGGCCTTGATCTTGAAGCTGGGGTGATGACCCTCCGTCTAGTGATGATGCGTATGTGGATGAAGTTTCATTAAATGATCTTGAGCAAACCAGAAGTTACAGAAGAGGAGGTTTACGGGCGGATGGAGACTATACCATAATACGTCCTGCTTTGAGGGGTGTATAAAAAGGCAGAAAGACATTCCTCACCAGATACTGACCACATTTGTAGAAAATGTTAATATTTTAGTCATTAGACCTTCATCAGCCAAAATTGTTGGATAAAAATATCTGTTTATTTTATTTACTCAAAGAGGCCACACTCAACAACAAGAGAAGGTTTTTAACCAGTTTTACTTGCAAGGACAGATTTTCACATCAGGTCACACAGATGTACAGAAGTTCTACACGCATGGAGCCCAGTCATGAGAATCTACCACGGGCAGTGTGCGAGGCTTGTTTTTATAACCTTATCAGCTCACAGACAGACTGGTGACATTTGACTGCCAGCTGCACCTGCAGTATCAAACCAGCTCCTCATCCAACTCTCTCTGTTAAATCAAACACATGGTTCATGGGCAGTTATTCTCAGCCATAGAAGTTAAAAACATCCATAAACCTTGACCAAAACTCCCCTAACATAAATATTTCAAGAATTACAAATATTGTCTAAGGTGTGCAACCAACCCCAGACAAACATCACAAATGACAAAATGTTACTCCCCTCAAAGCCTGGCCATTAGCTCATCAATGCTCTCAGATTTAAACTGTTTCTGAGGCTGTTCAAGAGTTATCTACAGCAGGTAAGACATTCACAACTGTCCCACACAAAGCCACTTCAGAAGATCTGAATTATGTCTTTAAGACGTGGTGCTTTGTACAAACGTTCATTCTCTCAGTCTGTAACTCGTTCAGGCACAGGGCCAGTGAAGGCTAGTTGGGTGGAGGTGGGGGTGGGGCTGCAGAAAGATGGCAGAAGTAAAGCAGAACAGGAGCAGTGACAGCACGGCCGACAAACACATTAAAGCGTTCTCGTTCGTCTGTAAATGTGCAAGAAGCTGGAGGTCTGCACAGAAAGTCCCACAGCCTGATGAGAAAATAAATAATTAAACGGACAGACTAAGTACAGGCCCGGTTCAGAAAGCGGACCAGAAACATGGCCAAAAGTGTGAGCGCCACAGATAAAAGCGACTCTCTTCTGTGATTAGGGCGCCGTGTGGTGCGTGGTGAGGGAATTTATTTTGATGTATGGTAATCCAAAGGCACAATTTAGACTTCCTGGGTTTTGAGGAACGGCGCCAAATGGTGCGTTTGACCTCTGCTGGGAACCACAACGTTGAATATATAGTGAAATAAAACTGAAAAAGAAAAAATGCATAAAAACGGAGAATAATGAGGAGGAGAAAATGTAGGAAAGTGCATCAGCGTGGACACGGAGACCTTATTACTTCTCTCTGGAACGTTCTCTGTTCCAGCTGAAGGAACACGGCGATAAACAACCTTGGCAAGAGCAAAGTGGCTCATAAACTACTAAACGGCTCAATATTCACACAAATAAAACAAAACACAGTCAAATAAAGATGTGGGTAATTTTAACATGGCCCAAAGAGATGTGGAAATAGATTTTATGAGCACAACATAAAACAGTCTGACAGCAGATTTCTGAAAAGCCTCCCCGTTTTTGTTTTTAATGCTGCACTGGGAAATATTTTATCGCTGTTTACCCAGAATGCAGCGTGGGTGCAGTTGTTCTTGTGTGGGCACCAACAAGTCTAGAAGAAGGTGGGCGCCGGCACTTATGTTCGGACACGCACACGTAGGAGGGAGGTGCAGACGCAGTGGGAGGGTAACATATACTGTATTTACTGGTAGCACCTTGGCCAGAAGATAATAATACAACAAGTGTGATCAAATCTGAACACCAAGACAAAAAATAAGGTGTCAGCCATCTGGTTGTGATCATTTATTTTTGTTTGTGGGGTATAGTGTTATTAAACTGCAACCTGTTTACAAGAAGCATGATTGTTTGTGGAAGTTGGACTACATTTGGGTGTTTTTACTACATTTATATATTTATGATCAAATCACAAACAGTTTTGTAAGAAAGTTATACTTTTTGGACATTTTGAAAGGTGGAATATTACATTAAGCTAAGGTTTACAACTGGTTCAAAATGCTGCAGCCTGATTTTTAACTGGTACAGGCAAAAGAGAGCACATTACACCAGTTCTGGCCTCCCTGCACTGGCTCTCAGTTCACTTCAGAATTCATTTTAAAATCTTTCTGTATGTTTTTAAATCTCTGAACAGCTCTGCTGATCTGCTGCAGCCATATGTCCCACAGCTCTCTGAGGTCAGCAGACCAGATGATTTTATTGGTTCCAGCCTGTCACGATAACCAATTTTGCTGGGTGATTAATTGTCTCAGAAATTATTGCGATAAATTATAATATTGTTTGAAATTTGACAATAATTAGTAATTATTGTCAAATTTAAGAAGAAATGTTGGTTAATTTTATTTTGAGTGTAGTACCTTTCATCGACCACCAGATGGCAGTATAAGACAGTTTGAACCGAAGGATGGATAGTGAGGGAGCGAGCAGCGTGTCTCTTTAAGAAAAATGGGAGGGAGGCCCTTTGACGTGACATGGGCTGTCTCTCCTTCCTTATTTCGGTTCTCAAAATGGCGGACACTCTGTATGGTTTGAACTCTTTAGCACAGCAATTTTTC